TAAAGCTTGGGGCAGCCTATCTCCTGGGGAATGAGAGGCCACACCAGCCACATTACGGGGAGGGGTCTGTGCCTTGAAGGCAGCAATCACAGACTGGGAGCCGTGTCCCTGCTGAGCTATGTAAGCACAACAGCAAAAACTGCCAGGCTAAAGGGCCCTGGCAGTGGAGAGGAAGCTTCAGTTGCATTGAGCTGGAAAAAAAGCTGGATCCCCGGAGACTGATGGCAAGTAGGCCTAGGGAAGTGCCAGTGCTGGGAAAGGTCCAGAAGAGCCGGTATTGTGAAAGACTTGTGCTGGAAGCAAAGACTAAGTTTTGAGCACTGTGCAGCGGTAGGGGGAGCAGGGAGACTGCAATTAGTGAACTCCTTGGGAGTGTGTGGACTGTCTTGGGTGAGTGAGAGTCTTGGAGCCCTTTGGAGGGAGGACCAGCAAGAAGACAGGACCAAGTGAGGGCCAGGGACCCTGTGATGTAACAGAGAGACACCCACAGTGACTGCTCTCTGACCAGACTGAGGGGCGATGCCAAACACCACCACCGAGGCATAGCAGGTGAGTAGGCAGGCGGGACCTGACCCCCAGGTGTGAGCAGGAAATCCTAGGGACACAATCCCTACATGGTTACATGGAGTGTCCTCTACCTTCTTCTTCCATGGGTCTCTGCTCTTGCTTCCCCAGTGTTTGCCTAAAATGCTTCCCATCAGAGCCTCAATCACAGCCTCAGGCAAATCTTGCTTTGTGCATTTGCCCTGACTGTTAAAGACTCATTCCCCATTACCACACCTTGAGATGTTATACACTGTCCCCAGCCCCTACACCTTGCTCAGATGACTTCATATGTCACAATGCACTTCTATAAACAGCTGTTGTAATTCACCCCTTAGTGTCATCTTCTACCCTCTCCAGTGATACTCCCTACACCTCTGTATGCAGAATAAATTTCCTTCCCAGTGTGCTAATGTGTAAGGACCCAGCACATTACAATATATATTTCTAGAAGATGATAGAGCTGGAGGGTTACCTGCAAAGGGAATACATGGCCTCATGTTGTCTTGCTTCTTTATCAAGTAAAGACCCAAGATTTTTCAGCATTTTTAAGTGTTAGAAACTCAGATCTTGTCTGTGAAACCATATTTACAAACTCAGATCTTGCCTGTGATCTTGCCTGGACGGCTCTTCAGGACAATTTAAGAACTAGCAGGATTATGAGATCATACATGATAAATGACTGAGATCGTGCAATCGGAAAGGGAAGATATTTAAATTTAAAATTATTTAGGTTTTTCACTTGCTTTTGTCAATACCTGCTAAATTCAAATGCCTGGAGACATGAGAGAAAATAATGTCCTTGTGAAGGATATAACACTTCCTCTGCCCCAGCAGAGAGCTGAGAAAGTGCCTCTGGGATTTGCAAATATTCTGATATTCCGAAGGTACAGAATATTCCGATTAAAAATAAACAAACACCTTTTGCATTCTCAATAAAATATAAAGGACCAATAAGCAAGTCTTTACAGGTCACTTTAAAAGAAATGCAAAGTCAGACAACGATACAATGAACAAATTTCCTACAAATGTCCACCCATCCTCTAATACTATGGTATAGTACTTACCAAAGCAACAGGATCATTGCTCCTTGTTCCTACTATGCTAAACTTGTGTACGTAGGTGTTAGTCTTGAGTGCTTTTGCATAGGCTTTTAAAGTGGGTATAGGAATATTCTGTGGAAATAAATCCAGAAAAATGATGATGTGCCACCATGACCATTCAGATTCCTGGTATATAATATAAACAAAATGTCAGATACAGAGGCGTTCAACAGACATCATCTAACAAGTTCTCTTTAGAGATGAAAGTGTCACATCTGTAAAATGACCTGGACACAAAGCTCAGAGACCTGAGAAAGGGTACTGCATACTCAAAGCTTGTCTATATCCCACCCAACTATACGGTTGGTCCAATAAACGATATCACCCACAAAAATCCTTGCCTTTAGACAAAATCAGATACATCAGGAAGAGACTGTAAAATAGAAACTGTAAATCATACAGAATTACAACATTCAACCAGTGGCCAGCATGTCCTAACAAGCATGGGAGCATTTAAATTCTCACCCCCGGTTAGCTAGAGACTCACATCCTGGATATAGGCAAGTTACATCTCTGCATTTTTAATTTCCCTATCTACAAGACAGGAATAACACAACTTGCCTGTTCACCTCTCCTGGTTGTTGAAGGCATTTAACCAGTTCATGTCAGCAGGCAATACTGCGCATGTCAAGTGCTGCAGTTTTGCTTCTTCATTGTACTGGCAATTTTCAAGTCACAGCTGATCCAGCACGTAGATCTGCACATCCAAGGATTCCTTGGCAGAATCAAGGCCTGACTTGGATTTGTAGAGCTGTTCTTGGGAGGTATAGAGTCTCCTCAACTCTGGCCCAAGCACCTCAAAGAATCAGGTCCACTTTCCTCCCTCAGTCACTTTTAACTTTATTAATTAAATGCCTCTTAAAGTGAAACTTTCCATCTTTTTTTTTCAACCCAGTAAGCAATTATTGAGAAGAGTGTGATTTAAAACAAAAAACCAAAAAAACTCAAAACCAAAACATTTCCCCGTTTTGAGTTCTCACAGGGTAAAAATAGTCTTTTCCTGCATTAAGTATTTAAAAACCCATTTCAGATTCAGATATTTCAAGTGATTCTAAAAAATTAAGTTGGCTGTATCCATGGTCTCCAATGAGGATAGCTTACAGATATCCATTGGCAACAACCATTGTTAATGCTGTCTTGAGAGTAAATCAGAGCAGGGGAAGTGTCTGATCTTCTTTGGTCTATGCTGAACAAAGCAGCTCTCAAAATCTAATGGGTCTGATTTTTTTGGCAAGTGCCAAGCGTTTGGTCTCAATTGCTGCATCCAGACATGCGTGGACATTTGGTTCCCTGGGGACAACTAGCAGCGGTGCACCCTGTGCTGCCACTAGTTGTCCTTGGGGAACATCTGTGCCATGCGTGCTCTGGCACATGGTGAGTTACCCAGAGTGGGATAGGGGAAACTTGGGTCAGCACTGGGCTGGCCTTAGCAGCCTTACCGGGGTCCTGGGGGCCTCCTGGGGTTGTAGCCATGTTGCTCCTGCTGCGTGGAGCCTGGCCAGCAGCGAAGCGCAGCTCCAACCAGCCAGGCTCCAGCTTTAGGCGGCACTTGCTGCTGCCACATGTGCCACTCCACCCTTTTTTCCCATGGGTTTTTTGACCCCTGGATGTCCAGGGGTCAAAAAAACTCTCAGTGCTGCGTAACTGCGGTGCCACATACCACACAGCTGCACTCACCTGGATGTGGCCAATAACTATAGCTCCTTTCAGATATCTCATACTGTCCCTTAAAAGTCACTAGTAACAGTGGAAAATGTAGGCCGATGACTATGGAAATTAAAAAAATGGTTGAAGGTACACAGGTAACTGGGTATGGTTTGTTTTTCTTTAAGGTCTGTGCACTTGCAGTTAATGGCATCGATACTGATAATTGTGCAGATAGTAACTACATGTTACATGCACAAGCATACATACACACACACACACACACGTATATATACACATACATACACACGTATATATATACACATACATATACACACATACATATATATACACTTACACACACACACAGGTCTTATAGACTGGAGACAAGATAGGAAAGGAGCTGAACCTCTTCTTGTTCAGCCATTGTGAATGGACCAGATGTTGTGTGCACGTATGTGCACACTGAGGTGATCTGCAAAGTTGCATTTGTGTCCTGATTTGCTTTTTTATGTAGCATAAGAGAAATGAAAAAAAAAGTTTTTGAGAAAGGGCTTTTGTTTGTACATGAGAAAAGTCTCAGGAACATATTTTCTCCCAGACCTTGTCAAAACTACCTTTCTCTTCTACCTTGGCCAATTTGGCAAGAAACCTAAGAGAACAGGGACAATTTCTATGCCTTTGCAGGTCTCCTTTAAACAGAAAAACCTATAAGTTTAGATTTTATATAGGTAAAACTGGTAACGCAGCAGAGCAGTTTCTAGCAGCAGAATTGTCTGTGTAAAGTGCAGCAGGAAGGAGCATGTACCTTAATATTATTAAGGTTGACTTCATCAAGTTCAGGATCATTGTTCTTTATTCGTTCCAAAGTTTCTTCGACATCTGTTGAATTTGGTTCTTCATCAGGAACTGGTTTGTATTGAGTGGGCTTAATCACACCTGTAATTATAAAGGAACATTTTAAGAAAGAAAACCCCCCCACATACAAATGGTCAGGAAGAAGGACATTGGCTCTAGGACAGTATCAGTGCTAGTGGCTATTTTTTCTTCTCTTTAAAGACATTTGGAAAGGGGGAATCTGTCAGGTTCCTGAAGGTTCTAAAAAAGGATGTGGAGGAATATGCTGAAGGAACTGCCAGGAAAAACCTCTGCCAAGCATGACTCAGGGCAAACTTTATACTATGGAAGACTCCCAGGAAAAGGGCCAGGAGAGACAAAGATGTCACAACCTTGTTTAGTGCCCTGAGCAATGTCTGGCAAGGTAGGAAGGCCTTGGACTTCCTTATGTCACCCTTGTCTGTTTTCCTTTTAACCTGTTGAGGAAGTAACTGTGGTGGGATCTTCTTTTATTTATTTATAGAAATGAGGCCCTTGAAAGCTTAGGCATGCTGGGATGTGAAGTGTGATAGGACATCACTGTAAATGTCAACCCAAGTGCAGATGTGGACAACAGAGAGATTCATTTGTAAAAGTGCAATCCAAGTTAGACAATGACATTGACATTAGAGAAAACTGGAAGCAGAGAACAGAGAGGAAGTTTGCCTAGGGAATTCACCTGAGATGACAGTGAGGAAGCAAGAGACTCTGTATGTGTGTGTGTGCAAGGACCCTAGTGCAGGTGTGTGGTGTGCAGGTTCTTGTGGTGCATCTTTTTTTCCCCATTCCCTCCCCCACCTGCCATCTCTTTTTTTTTTTTCTTTCTTCTTACAGCATAGGTGTTCTCCAGGGAGCAAAGGAGGCACAAATGGAGTCTGGGTCAGCTGCTGTGACCTACATGGCATGTGCCATGTTTGTGTTCCTCCTCCCAGAGGATCAGGAACACTTCATCTGCATCAAGTGTAAGCTGGTGTCTGCCCTGGAGGAAAAGATTCAAAGGTTGGAGGCATGGGTATCCATACTGCACTGCATCAGGGACCAGGAAAATTATTTGGACAAGAATTATGAGAAGATGATACTGGGGTGGCCAAAGGGCAATGAGGAGAAGTGGCAGCATGTGATGACGCAAAGTAGGAGGATCCCCAGAATTGAAGAGCAGTGGATTGAAGTCAGCAAAAGCTTACAGGAACTCTGTGGTGGAACTGCTGAGAAAAAGGCAGAGGACAGGACATCTGACGGCATGAGGCAAAGTAGGCAGCAACCTAGAGAGCAGGAAGTACAGGTCCCCAAGGACAGGGGCTCCAGGACCACTGTATTAAGGCAGAGAAGAGTGGTGGTGGTTATTGATTCTCTTCTGCAGGGGACAGAGGCACCGATTTGTTGTCCACATTTGGGGTTGAAGGAAGTTTGCTGCCTGCCTGGAGCCCAAATTCAGGACATTGCAGAGGGCATCCATACATGGAATGGAAGGATGAGCAGGTCACCAAAGAAGCATACCAGGAAATAGCAAGAACCTACACAGACAAAACGAGGAAGGCAAAAATAAAGGATGAGCTGTACCTAGCAAAGGAGATTAAGAACAAGAAGAGTATGTTGGCCAGAAAAGAAGGCCCAAGGAAGCTGTGTGTTCCTCTTGCTAACAAGGCAGGAGGAACTCCTAACAGAAAATGCAAAGGAGGTGGAGCTACTCAAGAGCTACTTTGCCTCACACTTCACAAAAACATTAAGCTGCTGTCAGGCGCATAATAAGTATTATCTGGATAGGGAAAGGGGTAAGTTGAAGGAAGAGATAACAAAAGAGGCAGAGAGATTTTGTGGGGTCTGAATGACTTCAAGTCAGCAGGGGTGGAAGGACTTCATCCTAGGGTACTGAAGGAACTGTCAAAGAAAATTTTCATGAAGTTGTGGGAGATGGGTCAGGTAACAGAGTACTGGAAAAGGGCCAACATAGTACCCCTCTTTAAAAAAAAGGCAAAAATGAGAGAACATAGGGAACTACAGACTGGTTCACCCCACCTCAGTACCTGGGAATTTACTGGAGCATATCTTAAGGAAGGCCATTTGTAAGAAGGAAAGGTTTATCAACAAGAAGCCAGCATGGATTTATGAAAAACAAATCATGGCAAACTTGATCTCCTTCTTTGACAAATTAACTACTGTGGTGGATGAAGGGAATGCTGTGGATATAGTGTATCTGGACTTGAGAGTTTTTTTACAAGGTCCTGCATAACTGTCTCATAAACAAATTGGAGAAATGTGAGCTGGACGCTGTAACAGAGAGCCCAGGGCTCCCTGTTCCTTTAAGAGAAGAAGCAGCCTAGCCAGGGAGCACTACAGGGCACCACAGCTGTAGGCCACCAGGGCAATAGGCTAATGGGGTAATTAGCAAGCACCTCCAGGCAGTCAGCTGACCAGATGTAGGCAGAGTCCTGGGAACATATGAGCTGCAGGCTGGGGTTGGCAAGGGAGTCTCTCCTTAGCAGCCACAGGGGTAGGAGCTCCTACCCAGGAGAACCACCCAGAGATGTTGGGCCAATCGCTTCACTGCCTGCAGGAAAATGGGGCTCAGGGAGCTCACCAGGAGCCCAGAATACTGTGTTAGGAAGGGGCAGAGGGCTTGTGTTTGTTGTGTTTATACTGGCAGTTTGGGTTGGGACAGTAGGGGAGATTTAGGGAGATCCCATTAGTGCCTGATAGGCACGCAATAGCTTTGAGGCCTACCAGGGGCAGGCTCAAGCTGTTACTGAGCCCAGAGTGGGCAGAGAGTACGAGGCAGCAGTGAGACAGGCCAGGGCCCTGATGCCAGAGGGACACAGACACACAGGGGCCAGGGGCCCAACAACCCAAAAAGACAAGAAGGAGCTAGTGCCTCAGAGCCAGGTCCAATTCAGTGGGCCCAGGCTAGAAGGCTTAGAGAGATTAAAGGGGCAGAGGCTGAAGAGGCTGAAGCCCCGACAGAGGGAACAATGGTACAGTAACACTTGTGAGGCATGGGGCGTGGTGTAGGGGAGGATTTGGAGTCATGCAATTAGCCCTTAAGGCTTTCGGTGCCCTGCCAGGCATAGTTGACTACAGAGGCCCAGTGAGGGGCCTGGGACTATAGAGGCCCAGTGAGGGGCCGAGGATCAGTGAGGACTAGTAGGGTGCTGGGGACCTTAGCGTGGGTTCAGTGGAACCGAGGCCATGCAAAGGTCCATGGGCAGCCTCCCAATTTATCATCATTCCATCAAGGCATGGCAGGTGAGACAGGAAGGCACCCAAGGAGCGGAGCATGGTCACAGAGCCTTCAGGGGACATCACAGCCACCCCTGGGGCCCCAATGTGTTACAAACATAACTAATATAAGGTGGATAGATAATTGGCTCAATAGCTAGAAGCAAAGGGTAGTTATTAATGGGTCCATGTCAGAATTGAAGGAAGTTTCAAGTAGAGTGCTATAGGGTCTGTCCTAGGCCCAGACCTGTTCAATGTGTTTATTAATGATTTGGATGCTGGCATAAAAAGCTTCTTGAACAAGTCTGCAGACAATACAAAGCTGAGAAGGACTGTGAACATGTTGGAGGATGTCAATTCAAAAGAATCTTGACAGATTGGAAAGTTGTGCTAGAGCTGGAGGATGAAGTTTGATGCAGAAAAGTACAATCTGCTACAATTCAAGGAAAAATAATCAAAACCACAAATATAAAATGGGTGACACCTGGCTGGATGGAAGCTGTATCGTAAAGGACCTGGTAGATCACCGACTGCAGTGTGATGCCACTACACAAAAGATGAATGTGGTTTTGGGATGCAAGACATTAGGTGCAAGACATGGAAGGTGATAGTGTCTCTCGATTTGGCATTGGTTAGACCTCATCTGGCATACTGTGTGGAGTTCAAGGGCTCCACATTTTAAAAAGGATACGGAGAAGTTAAGAGATGGTCCAGAGGCGGGCAACAAAGATGATAAAGGGTTTGGAAAGCAAGTCCTATGAAGATGCTGAGGGACTTGGGTATATTCAGCTTCTGGAAAGGGTGCTTAAGAAGGGGACATGAAACCAGTCTTCAAATACTTGAGGGACTGCTATAAAGAAGAGGGAAAGTGCCTTTTCTCTCTTGCTGCGGAGAGCAGGATGCAGACCAGTGTCTTGGAGTTGTATCAAAGTAAGTTTAGATTAGATATCCAGAAAAAGTCTTCACTGTTAGAATAGTGAGGCAATGGAATAGACTCTCCATCACTAGAGGTTCAAGAAGAGGCTGAACAGCCACTGGTCAAGGATGATGTAGACATAGAAGGTGCCAAGTAACATGGGGCCTCTGCAGGACACGGTAAGAAATCTGGTCATCTCACCTGACGGTATTGTCAGGCAACTTCTGAAGGGACTAGACATATTTAAATCCGCAGGTCCTGATGATCTCCACCCCAGAGTGCTGAAGGAACTAGCAGGGGTCATTGCGGGGCCTCTGGCACAGCTCTACGAGCACTCATGGTGCTTGGGCGATGTGCCAGAGGACTG